CATGCCCAACAGCCATCCACATAAAGCTATGCACAGCTCAGCCACCTACAATGCCGCCCAAGAGCTTTCAGTGGGACGGGGCAGTGGCATGGGGGAGAGCAAGAGGAGGGAGTCATCACCCAAAGGCTATCGCACAAGGACCTTTCCACCTCCAGGCTCGAGCACTGAGAAAAGGGACATATATAAACCAAGGTAAACTCATAATTCAGAATTTATGACACTGTAATTACGGCTATATCCAGCCCAGAAAAAAGAAATCAAAAACACATCAGTCACATAATGTATAATCCTTATGTACTGACATCGGATACATTATAGATTAAAATCACTTAATCCTACTACTGATGATCCAAATAGATCCTCTGCTGCTGCACCTAAATACTTTACTCTACATTTACAAGTTTTGTCCCTTACGAGAATCATCTCACAATCCATAATAAACATGACTATGAATTACTTAAATTTTCGTATGCCCAAAGTCTTAGATTAATTCTGCCATACAACTGTTCAGGTAGATGGCTCCTCATCAGACACTCTCAGTATCCACCGGGTGTACCGCAGGGGTCAGTTTTGGGTCCCTTACTTTTCATTTTGTACATAAATAATATCAGTCAAAACATTCCAAATTGTTACTTTCATTTTTATGATGACGATACCGTAATGTACAGTGTGGAATCTACTCCACTTGATGCCCTTCAGCAGTTACAGATTGCTTTTGACATATTTCAAAGGAAACTCCAAGACTTAAAGCTTACCTTAAATGCTGACAAAACAAAATCAATGCTATTTTCAAATGTCAAAACACTCCTCTCAGATCTTCCTCGAATCTCTACTTCACAAGGTGCTCAAATTGAGAAAGTGGAAAGGTACAAGTATCTAAGTCTTTGGATTGACAGCTCACTTTCATTCGCATTTCACTTACAGCAATTAACTCAAAAACTGAGTGAAATTAGGCTTCTTTTTTAGGATTAGGCCCTGTCTTTCTTTTGAGGCTAGGAAGAGGCTTGTAGAAGCCTCATTTATGTCGGCGTTGGACTATGGTGATGTGGCTTATCTGAATGCTTCTGCTCAGAGTCTACGAGCTCTGGACATAGCTTACCATGGAGCCCTGAGGTTTATCACTGGTCTCAGAGCGCTCACACACCATTGTGTACTTTATGCACGTGTGGGCTGGACTTCCCTAGCCACACTGAGGCTCAAACACTTGTATCTGATGGTCTATAAATGTTTTCTTGGTCTGCTCCCGTCTTATCTGCAAAAGCATGTAGTTCAGAAACGTTCTGGGGCTTACAGCCTGCACTCACAGGAGGTGTTTTTGTTGTCAGTTCCCAGAGTGAAGTCTGAGTTTGGCAAGAAAGCTTTTCAGTTTTATGCTCCTTCGGCATGGAACTTTTTACAAAATTATTTGAAGTTAAAGGAGCTGGTCTCCTTAGAATCTTTTAAACAGATTTTAAAAAACAGAGATCTGGAATCCTCAGGGTGTAATTGTTTTAACTATCTTTGAATTTGTGTTAATTGTTCTGTTATACTGAATGTATTTTATGTATGTTTTTATATGTTTTGAAACTGTAGTTTTGTGGCCTTTTGGCCAGGACGCTCTTGAAAAAGGGATTCTTAATCTCAATGAGATTTTTTCCTGGTTAAATAAAGGTTAAATTAAAAAAATAAATAAATACATACATTTATTTGTAATAGGATCTCTGTATCAGCATCAAGCAGATGTTCTTGTCAATATGCTGTTGGTGAAGTTAATATGAAAAATTTGGTTTTCCACACAGGGCCTACACTCCTCAGGGCTACAAGACTCCAGCAGCAGAGAAAACTCGTCCTGTGCGAGCTGCTACCACAACACCGACTTCAGCTCAATACAGTTCCACCCCTTTGTCTACCTCTGCTCCAAAGTCTTCATATGGGAAAAGTAGGCCTGCAACCTGGCAGATGGAGGACTCCACTTCTGAAAAGAAGTAAACTGAGACCTATATTTTGTCTGTACTACATACTGATGTAAAAACACATAACATTGACTTTTCTCTGTCTCCAGACAAGTTGACACAAACTCGAAGAATGTATTTGGTCAGCCGCGACTGCGTGCGTCATTGAGGGATTTGCGATCTCCAAGACGAACATATAAGAGTACAATAGAAGATGACTTGAAGAAACTCATTATAATGGATAACCCTGGAGAAGCTCCAGAGAGAGAAACGGTGAGAATGACAATAATACACGATCCAACTGTCATTTCAAACATTAACATATGAAGTCACTGGTCTCCTGTCTTTCAGTCTCCCAGATGTACATTGCAGCGTACCTTCTCCGATGAGTCACTGTGCAGTGGACGCAGAGATGCCTCTTTTGCCAACTCCGAGAATCAGAACGCACCCACTGACATGCTCTTCACCTGTACCCTGCCCACACGCAGACAAGCCTCCTCCAACAGCCACTCCAGCCAACATCAGAACAAGAAGGGTATGTTTACAGTACAGAGATTGAGGTGCATAAAGTGGCTCTTATATTTCTACTAATATTTGTGTGCAGTCCCACTGTCAGCGTCAGAGCTATCACTCACTGAAGTGAGAGACAAGGTTCCCCCTCTGAGAAGGCTAGACCCTGGCCTGATGCCTTTGCCTGACACAGCCTGTGGGCTAGAGTGGTCCAGTTTGGTGAATGCTGCTAAAGCCTATGAAGGTAAGTGTATACCACATGTTCACTGTGCCTCACCAGTGAGAATCCCTCAAATTTAAATATTATAAAACTGAAGTCTCTCTGTTTGTGGCAGCACAAAGAGCCGTGTCTCTCTTTTCATTAAATGAACCTTTGGTTGGTCCGGATTTGAGACCGGCTAGCAGTCCGGTCCCATTTCAGACTCCTCAGACTCCACGGACAACTCCAACTTTCAGTGGGTAAGTCTACTTACTCTAGCAAAACAAGGTTACTTTAAGTCAACTGGACCAACTTTTAGAATGAACTGATCCAAATGCTATGAGTCCGACAGGGATGACGTTTACAGAAATATGACATCTCAGTTAATTAAATTAATTCTCTATCACCAGAGAGGAGACGCCAAATGATTTGTCTGGACGACTCTTCCACCTGGAAGTGATGTTGAAACAACTTAACAATGATCTGGAAAGAGTAAGTTTGTCTTAAACTGAAAGTTCTCAATAATAGTTTATCATAACAATTTTCCATTAACCTTGTGCTGCAGGAGAAGCAGGATAAAGTTGTCCTGCTAGCAGAGATGGCAAATCTGAGAGAAAACAACCAGCGTTTGCAAGAGGAAAGTCACACGGCCAGTGAGCAACTGCGGAAATTCAGCTTGCTTTTTACCAACCTCAATAAGGTGGAAAGTGAGCATGAAGGGCACACTGTAGGACATGAAACGGACTCACAAAGGGAGTGAACTGCTGCACAGGAAAAAGTGTATGTATGGGACATGGCAAAATGTTTCTGTCCCACTTTTTCCCCATGGTTTCTTGCACACTTGGTGGCAAAGTTGTCACAACCTCAGATTTGACTGGACTGCCTTAAAGCCCCTCATATAGACCATGTCCCAGTTGTCTGAGCCGCATTATTTTATAAAAAGAGACTCAACTCTTGTGATATAAAGCTATGCCACAAGGACAAGGACACCAATAAGATTATGACTATAGACATTACTTTTCCTGGAGAGGCCTAATACTGTTGGAGCAAATCAGCCAAAAAAAGAGACTACAAACCACATATCCCATAATGCACTAGAGGGTTTCAATGCTCTACAACGGCATACTGCAGATAAAATGTGACTGGTACGACTGGAATGACTGGAAACAACCAATACTGTCAAAATGGTCCCTTATTGTTTATGTGAGACTGAGAGTACTTTAAAATACTCAGAAGCATTACTGCACAAGTGATTGTGCACCTTTCTTTTGTGTAACTGTGTGAGACATGGAAGAGTTAATATGAGAATAAATGAAAACTTATTGTAAATTTCTTATTAGCCCATGGCATTCTGTTTTTGTTTACATGGATGAGAGCGGTCCAATGATGTGAAATCAAGCCATGGTACGGAGTAAGAAAATGCTGTATTTTCATACACATCAATTGAAACTGGTATAACATTTTTACACGAAACCCATCAACACTGAAGCTTTTATCATACCAATTTGTACGCCTAAACAGAACTATTTATACTCCTAGCTTGCCTAATTATAATGTGTATAAAATCTATTTTTAATACTTGTTTTTTCCATTTGCTGGTGGTGACTGGATATTTTTGCAGTTGGTGCAAAAATCTATTTCACAGCTGTACTTCCGTAAATATCACTAAATAATTGTACTGAATTTTGCCTTGTCCTGTACTTGTGGAGCACCACAACTCCCTGGTCTGACTGGAACTGTTTTATTCAAACTTCCCCAACTCTCAGGTTCCTTGAGATAAGCTGTCAATACATAATACAAATGTGACTGTGTTTTGGTTGAATAGGGAACAAGTGCTTTAAGAAAAAGCTGGACATACAGCTCCACATCTCCGAAACAGTAGTTCAGTCTTATCCCCACACCTCAGTTGTGACTTAAGTCTTACTTTTTCATGTAATTTGTTTAAAGGGGCTCAAATACATTGTTGTAATTTTAAGATATTTATAGCATACACAATGACTCATTAAACCAATCATTGCATTGTGGTTAATGGTATTGTACAAGTAGGATGTTAATAGCTAGTAAATATTGATAATTTATTTTAACCTGTTGGCCAATGTTGCAAATTTGTGAAGAGGGTACTGTCTTGCTGAGCTCTATAAATGTTGACTGCATTTTCAGATGCAATGACAATTTATTTGGGTTGTAATAAGTGTACATTTAAACTGTAAATCTGCTTTTTATTTTATAAAATTAACTTTTGAACACTGCTTTTTGTATTCTTTCACCGGTTTCCCCCCCCCCACATTGTTTGACAAGATTTATATTCATTAATATGAATATTACCATACAACTTCAATTAACAGAAGGATGAAAAGAACTTTTACCCAAGCTTAAAAATAGATTTATTCATTTCAATGGTAAGATGCATTTTGTACATTAGTAAGTATTAAAATTATTCTTAGTGCTACAGTAATGACAAATGACAGTGAATAGTGGACTGCAAGTCTATGACCCGCACATGAGGCACTCGTCCTTGTTCTCCAGTGAACATACCATGGCCGCTTTGTTGAGCTCCTTCAGCTCCTGCTCGGATGGTTTGGCAGTCTGCATTTCCTTCAGCTTCTCTTTGTTGAGAGTGAACTGGATGGGGTTGGCTGCTGGCTTGGTTCGCAGATAATACATCCCAGTTTTTAGACCCTGGAACACAATAGATTACTTTGGCTGCCATTTAACTTTTTTCATTTTACTTTGCATCATATTCTTTCCTCACCTGCTTCCAGCCATAAAAGTGCATGCTGGTCAATTTGCCATAGTTTGGCTCTGCAATATGAATATTTAGAGACTGGCTCTGGTCAATGTAGGCACCGCGGTCTGCAGCCATCTTGAGTATAGTCTTCTGTGATATTTCCCAAACTGTTTTATACAGCTGTTTTAAATCATCTGGGATTTCAGAAATGTCCTATTGTGGAGAAAGTGTTGGCATTAAAACTCAAAGCTACACATGGTTACAAATGATGATTGTTTATCAAAAGCTTACCTGTATGGATCCATTTTGAGCAATGAGCTTATTCTTCATTTCCTCATTCCACAGTCCCCGTTCAGTCAGGTCCTTGAGCAGATGTGGGTTTACAATCTGAAACTCTCCGGAGAGGACTCTGCGTGTGTAGATGTTGCTGGTGTAGGCTTCGATGGACTCATTGTTGCCTAGTATTTGTGCTGTGGAAGCAGTAGGCATGGGGGCCAACAACAGGCTGTTCCTCACACCATGTTTAGTAATCTTCTCCTTAAGCAGCTTCCAGTCCCAGAGCGCAGTCGGCACCTTCTCCCACATGTCGTATTGCAGAATGCCCTTACTCACTGGAGAACCTGGGTATGTCTCATAAGGCCCGTCTTTTTCTGCTAACTCGCAGCTTGCCTCCAGGGCGGCGTAGTATATTGTCTCAAAGATCTGGATGTTCAGCAGCTGGGCTTCAGGACTTTCAAATGGATAACGCATGAGAATGAAGGCATCTGCGAGACCCTGCACTCCAATTCCGATTGGCCTGTGGCGCTTGTTCGAGTTCTCGGCTTCAGGGACTGGGTAGTAGTTAATGTCAATGATCTTGTTGAGGTTTCTTACAATTACTTTAGTGACAGAGGCAAGCTTTTTGAAGTCAAAGGTCCGTTCTGGAGTAACATACATGTTAAGAGCAATAGAAGCCAAGTTACAGACGGCTACCTCATCTTTGCTTGTATACTCCACAATCTCAGTGCACAAGTTACTGCATTTGATAGTGCCCAAATTCTGCTGATTACTCTTCCTGTTACAGGCATCTTTGTACAACATGTAAGGAGTTCCTGTTTCAGTCTGAGACTCTATGATGGCATACCACACCTGCTGAGCCTTGACCACCCGTTTCACTCTGCCTTCCTGCTCGTAGCGAGTGTACAGCTTCTCAAACTCCTCCCCCCAACACTCATCCAGCCCAGGGCACTCACTGGGGCACATCAAAGACCAGTCCTGGTTGTTTTCCACCCTCTTCATGAACAAATCAGGGATCCATAGGGCATAGAAGAGGTCTCGTGCCCTCTGCTCCTCTTTACCAGTGTTCTTCTTTAACTCAAGGAAGTCAAACACGTCAAAGTGCCATGGCTCAAGGTACATGGCAAAGGCACCAGGTCGTTTATTGCCACCTTGGTCCACGTAGCGCGCCGTGTTGTTGTACACCCTCAGCATTGGCACAAGGCCATTTGAATTACCATTTGTTCCAGCAATGTAGCTTCCTGTTGATCTAATGCAGCTAACTGCTACACCAATCCCTCCTGCAGATTTGGAGATGAGAGCGCATTGTTTGAGTGTATCATAAATGCCATCAATGCTGTCATCCTTCATGGCCAGCAGGAAGCAACTAGAGAGCTGTGGTCTGTTGGTGCCTGCATTGAACAGAGTGGGAGAGGCATGAGTGAACCACTTCTCAGACAGCAGGTTGTAGGTCTCAATGGCTGCATCAATATCAGTTTTGTGGATTCCAACAGCTACTCTCATGAGCATGTGCTGTGGACGCTCAGCCACCTTGCCATTGATTTTCAGCAGGTAGGAGCGCTCTAGGGTCTTAAAGCCAAAGAAATTATAAGAAAAATCCCTATCATAGATTATAGCAGAGTTGAGGCGGTCTTTGTTTGCAAGGACAATATCTAGGGTCTCTTGGGAGATCATGGGGGAGTGGCGCTTGTTTAAAGGGTTGACATAGTTGAACAGATCCTCCATGACGTCACTGAACACCTTCTTGGTCTCTTTATGGAGGTTGGAAACAGCAATGCGTGCAGCCAGAAGGGCATAATCGGGGTGCTTAGTGGTTAGTGTGGCAGCAATCTCCGCAGCGAGTGTGTCCAACTCCACAGTGGTCACTCCACTGTACAGACCTTGGATCACCTTCATTGTGATTTGTGCGGGGTCCACAAACTCCGCGTTGAGCCCGTAACAGAGCTTTTGGATTCGAGAGGTGATTTTATCAAACATGACGCGCTCCTGGCGTCCATCTGAAAAACACAAAATATTGCCAACGCGATTACAACAATAATCCCGTAAATTATATTTTAATAGATAGACATTTTACATTAATCATACAATCATACAGTACATCTGAATATAATAAATAGCCCTACACTGGGCAATAGGCAGGGGTGCCGTAAAAACAAATTTAACCAAAAATGTAAGTAAAACCTGTTAATAAATTAGGACAAGTATTTAGCAATAACATTAATCAAAGTCACAAACGTCAGATCCTTTAAGTTTTCTGACGGGAAAGGGAAAACGCCACAAAGCGTTTGGCGCCAACTGAGACCAAGGAGGACTTTGTGTAAATTACAAACGCCACAACAGCTTAGCTTCAGTGCTAACAAAATCTCCGTGGTTCCAACAGTCATTTTAAAAGGAGTCGAAATACAACTGGTCTTTCTATTTAGGTGAATCTTAAGTGAGTATTTACACATTTCTATGTTAGCACGGCAATAAGTACTATCTTAAGAGTTGCAGTACAAGCAGGAAACGCAGATGCTACTCAATGCTAAAGAACACAGACCTCTTTTGATGACATGCATGCTGTCCAAGTGTGATGCAGCACCACCAAAGATACAAAATCCAAGTTATTAGCAGAAGAAGCAGCGTTACCGCCACAGACCTCGACAACCCGCTGAAATAAAGCGCGACTGGACCTAAAAATGCCGCTAACAGGCTATTTGTACGTCTGGGAATGTGTTGTGAAACGGTAATTGACGTCTCCGTTGACCAATCGGTGATAAGAAAATGCGGGAGTTTGTCTTGGTGGACCAATAAGGTGTGACCAGAGATGACGTCCATTTCCGCTTTTTACGTCAACCAAAATGTGGCGGGGAATCGCGAGGTCCTGACGGCGGGATCCAGTGAGATGGTGAAAAGTGGGTCACTGGTGTTTGTTTTTGTAGACTTTAATTACTCGTGACTGAATTGTATTTATCCTGTCACACAATATACGGAGATAACTTGACTTCTGGATTTTGTAACATCTCGACTGTCGTTTGGACTCCGCGGCTGTAGGTCGCAGTAAATCTCAAAAACAGCTCAACATAAAAGCGAAGAAGCACGATTCCGTGTAGTTCTCATGGAAGTTTACATCCATGGGTTCTCCTAACGTGTGCATTCAACTAATTAGATGCTGAATACTGACGCTTTTATGGGTCCTTTTGAGTTTAGCTATCCACATGTTTTATCTGTATTTATAACTATAGTAAGGTGTGTAGGGCACCCTACAGGAGGACGATTCAAAATGACTTTATTAGCTAATCTTCCCATGATTAACAGACCTCTGCAGGTAACGTAAATGTTATTAGTTATAGTGAAGACTTGGAGAGGGACTGTAAAGCTCTTCTTTTTGGCCTATCTGTTAACTTCCTGCTATTCACAACACGACGCACTGGACACGTAGCTTTTAGCACACAGCCAAGCTGTCATAAGTCAAGTCATGTCCCGGCACAGCCGACGGTACAAGCCTCCGCCGCAGGATTATAGCAGTGCCTCTTTGCCCGGCTGTGACCGCGTGTGGATGCCCCGTGTCCGAGTTATCTTGCTCTGTCTAATCGGGGTCTTGGTGCTGGCCATGGTGCTAGGGGTATTCTTATCCAACGACTCCATCGATGGGAACTTTGCGAACCGATTTCCAGAAACAGACTGGACAAATGACAGAGTAAGTACACATATGTTTTTCTTTTATTCCTTTTGAGCTCTTGCAGTTTTTAGGGAACATCCACATGCTTTGTAACAGCTGTTACTTCTCAGTTCTCAACCTTCTCACATATTAATGATTTATTGATTTACGCGTGCCTAGTGATCCCTTTGTTTTTTGTCATATTCTGTTCTGCAGTTGTCTCATAAGCCAAGTAAGTGCTCCACTTCTCATATTCGGCACTTGGCCTCTCAAGTCGATGGAAACCGTTTATGGGAGACCCATTTGAGGCCCATTCTTATAGAGAGACTTCCTGGGACCCCAGGCAGTTTGGCAGTGCAGCAGGTTTGTACAGGCGTACAGTACATTTGACTATGTTTTATTTCTAGAAGTACTAGTTACTCCTTGTATTAACCTCATTCAATGATCTCTTTCCAGCATATTGCCTCTACACTGTCTTCACTGTTGGCAGGCTGGAGCATTGATTTAGACTCTTTCCAGTCTCCAACTCCACATGGCCGGGTGACCTTCACAAACATTGTGGCTACACTGGATCCTGCGGCACCTCGGAGACTACTTTTAGCCTGCCACTATGACTCTAAATCCCTTCCTTTAGACCCACGAGATCCAAAAAGAGTATTTCTGGGTGCCAGCGATTCAGCAGTGCCTTGTGCTATGATCCTGGAGCTTGCAACATTGCTAGATGCACAACTAAAAATATTTAAACAGCAGGTGTGTGGGCAAATTTTTGAGACAGATTTTATAATATGAAAGCAAAATATGATTTTCTTCAGTTGTTTTGTCATTATCCAGGCTCTGCTTATTTTTCTTGTTGAATTGTTGAACAAAAGTTTTAATAATAGTTTATTTTCCTACCACAGAAACACCTACTAACCCTTCAGCTGGTGTTTTTTGATGGTGAAGAATCATTTGAAGAATGGACTGATACTGATTCGCTTTATGGCTCTCGGTACATGGCTGAACGAATGGCCACCACACCTCACCCCAGGGGCTCTGCACACACCACAATGCTTCAGGCTGTGGTAAGGAAATGGTCTGCTTTCATCCAAATGTATCTGACAATTAACTCAAAGAATGACTGAACGTACATTTATTTACAGCTGTGTTAAAATAGTTGTCTTCATTCATTCATTATATTGTGTAGAGACTATTTGCCAAAGAATACAAACTAGTGTAAGTATGAGCAAAATAAAGTCAAATAATCACTTTGAGGCACCATGTGCATGCAGTTTATGCAGTACACAATCAATATCCATTCAGAAATGCAGTTAATTTCCAAGTTGGCTGGCACACAACAAGGTTACATGATTTCAGTTGCCTCTCCTGCCTAACTTGTTAAATCCAGGCCCACCAGAGTGCTTACTGGTCTAACTCTACTAGCCCACTTTGACCCGTAAGGACCCCGTGGACTAATTGTTAGGCTAAACAACTGACCAAAAATTAACAAAAACATAATGATAAAAAATATGCAACTTAGAATATATAACTATGCTGGTTAAAGAATTTGACATAAACTAAATCTTTAACATAAAAAAAGTTATATACCGTATCTAGGAGCCATTTTTTGTTAAAACTACTTCTGTTCTTATAGGATCTTTTTGTGCTTCTGGATCTGCTCGGAGCCCCTAATCCCCTCATTGTAAATCACTTTGATAACACTGCACGTTGGTTTGATCGACTTATTACAGCAGGTAAATATTAGGCTTTAGAATGAATAAGAAACTATTTTACATTCTAATGGTACAATCTTTTAAAGAAAAGAGACTCCATCGACAGGGTCTGCTAGCTTCACATTCTTCTGAACAAGCTTACTTCAGGAAAGACCTGTATCTGGGGCCTGTTCAAGACGACCACATCCCTTTTCTTCTCAGAGGTTGGTTATAGTGTTTATATCAAATTATCAACATGATTATTTCCTGCGCCTAATGTATACAGTTTATCTTTTTGTACCCAGGGGTTCCTGTGCTACATGTCATTGCAACACCTTTCCCTCAGTTTTGGCATACACTGGATGACACAGAGGAGAATATGCATCGGCCCACTGTGGAAAACTTAACAAAGATTCTTGCCGTCTTCCTGGCAGAATACTTGGGATTGTATTAGTAAAATGATTAAATGCTAAACCTAACCAAAGACAGTAGACCGTTTCTCCTGTCAGTTTGAATGATGTGACTTTGCATAAGCATAAATATTCTTGTTACAGGCATTACATTTTTCTAAATGTTTTATACAATTTCATCCTTGAAAATAATGTATTTCCTCCAATGACAAGCGAGCTATTACTCAGGGTATACCCTTATGCTTATTGCATTATGGACTTCAGCCCCCCAAAATTAAATTAAGCAATAAAGAAAAATAAAAACCTGTAATTGACTGATCATGTTTGATTATTTCAATATGTTAATCATTGTGTAAAAAGATCTGAAGTACTTCACTCCTCAAGCAGAAATGTTGAACATGCCTGTAATGGGAAGAATTGTGTCGTTGGTTAACCACAAGAGGGCGACATGAGTTTTTCATTAGCCCATATGAGATCTCGTTAGAACTTCTATCAAGACTACATATAAAACGAATTTACATTCTCTACACTAGTAGTTGGTGTATGTAGTTTATTATTACAATATGTAATATAAAAAATATAATTTGAATAATGAATTAAACATGTATATAAAAAAATGCATTTCAAACTATCAAAAGTAAAATAAAAAAGTTCAAACATTATCTTTGGTTAAAACTGGAGTTTTGGCAAGAACAAACTGGATAAAATGTGCATAACATGTGCTTACAAACACATTGTCTTTTTTTTGGCAAGAAATGTACAGTACATTACATCTCGACACCCTAGCACGACATTCACAGTTCACAGGATACATTTCCCTTTATGTGTCATGAAGAGGAAAACTTCCAATTCACACTGACCATGATGCAGACCTTCTCATTTGACAGTAAGACCATAATTGATTGACATATGCTTCAAAAACAAGTACACAATACACAAATACAAACAAGCTTGTAAAAACAATATATTGTAAAGTTTTAAAAATGTATAATTTTGTACCATTATTGACCAGATATGAACTGTGCCAAGATACAACAAGCACACAGTCATATTGAATAAGGAGATTTCATTAGCATTATTAGCTGAAGCTATAAAGCACAGTTTGTGACTCCCCAGGTTATTTGAAAACTTGAATGTTTAGTGAACATTTTTATTATAGCATTTTTGCTTATTGTACTAATCTATAATTTATTAGTGCACTGTACTGATACTAATTTAGACTGATGTGAACTACATGAAGAAACTGAAGTTAAAGGTCTGTAGTTCTGAACATACATACAGTTCTTTACAATAAAATTGTAATATTAACATCTACTGCGATTGGCAGCTCTGGACTGGTAAAAAAAAAAAAAAAATCTGCTTTGGCAAACAAAACATACACACAGTATAAAATATGCCCTTTGTAACCATGTGAAGTTTAGTGTAAACACTAAAAATGCAATGTGCAAAATATACAAATAAGATAAACAGCTACATTTATAAATGTTGGGCTAAAATAGATTTATATTATTGTATTACAGGTTAAAAACCTATAATACAATTTAAGGCACTTAAGGCAACAAGACTGCAAACATCAAATTGTAATGCAACATTGTGTTTCCTAAAGGATTTTAATCATCAAAGATTATTTAAGTAATTATATCCTATGTAGTACCAAAATCTTGCATTGACTTTACAGAAAATAGCAATGTGGTGGTCAAACTATTGATCACCCAAGTAACATAAATAATTATCCAGGAGTGGGAAAAATTTATGCTCTCCCCATTTTGATATTAAAATGGTTAATGCACACCAGAAATGCATACAGGTACATAATATCCTGTCATTTTTACATTTTGGTTGCCAATTTGAGTTCAGAACTTAAAAGTGCCACTGAGGTTTTGAGTGAGTAGTGCATTATAATGCTGTTACCAGAAAGGTCGACACTACAGGCACTAACGGTATTTTTGTTGTTGATGTAGTAAGGTCTACAGACCCAAATCATCATCATCAACAGGCACAGATTGTAGCTGTGTAAGAATTTTGGACTCGCCTTCAATGTCCTCTGAGTTACCAAGTGGTGACCTGGTATCCATTCCCTGCTCAGGAGAAGGGCTCCCCAAAAGCAGGGATTCCCCTCCAGGCAGGCCTGCTAACAAAGACGGGTCAACATGGAGATCGCTTTTACCACGTACATCAAACAGCTGAGACAAATTTGATCCTGGACTCCAGGCAGAATGAGACAGTTGTGCATTTGATGTCAACCCACTATATGTGGGACTAAGGGTTAGCATACTCTCTGGAGTGAGGGCGCTCTGGGAGGTGGAGGAAAGTGGGTGCTCTAATGCCATAGTAGAGTGGATTGGTGTCTGACTTGTAGTAAAGGCAGATGTTGTAAAACTGCTAGTTAAACTTTGCATACTTAAAGGCTGTGAAGCAGCTGAAGGCCCATTACTGGAAACAGGGGAAACCTCTGGTTTTGAGGACAAACCTGTGAGTTGAATTCCTGCTGGAATTGTCAATATTAGCTTGCCTTGCTGGACACTTAAGAATGGACTTCCACTGAGGAGCAGGTTGCCTACAAGAGAAATGTACAATTATCCATCAGTGACTACATTAATAATATAACAAAAAGTATAAAGTACCTGGTGGAGTTGCAGGGAGTTGAATGATCCCAGAATTCAACAGCTGCACACTGGGACCCACACTTGCTGGAGAAGCTACAGTCTGAATAGGGCTGATGGTGTTGATCCTGAGGGGGGCTTGTGCTAGGTTAGAAGCAGTGGGGCCAGATGCCAGAATCTGTACAGGTGGTCCAGCAGAAGGCACGGTCAGTGATGGGGTGGCAGGCACCACCTGTGGAAATGAGATTGTGTTCGACGTTTGGATGGATGAAACTGGGACCAGCTGTGGCAGTGAAACAGAAACCAACTGTGCATGAGTCCCTTTAGGTGCAGGAAACACTTGTGTTGGCGAAGCAATGGAAAGGAGTTGTGGCACTTGTATTTTTCCAACTGTAGCAACTGGACCATTCTGGTCCACCAAGTGACTAGTTAATTGTTGTGAAAGCTGATTTGTAGCATGTTGTGAAATGGACACTGTGGTTATACCAACTTCAGGCAGTGTTGATGCAGCCTCATGCTGATGTACAAGTCTGTGGTCTGTAGTTATTGTGCTTTGCAACAGTGAATTTGGGGGTGAAAGTGGAGACACAGGGACCAACTGAGGACACTGGGACCCCTGAGTTGCTGAAGAGTGTTGGACCAACTGGGAGACAGGTATGCCTTGAATAGAAGGAACTACCTGGGGGAGAGAGAGGACCTGAGGGGTGGAAGGAGTTGATGAAACTACTGAGCTAGAGGCAGTTATTGGGGAGCTGGTAGTGGCAAAAACAACAAAGTTGCCCTCCTGACTGCAGAGAGATGAAGAAATGACTGTTCTTGCAGATGCTATAGATGCTGGAAGAGTGATCAGTTCCTGATTTTTGGTTGTTTGTGTCAACAGTAACTTTGGTGCACTGTTTATAGTAGATGAAAAAGGTGAAGATTGTAAAAAAGATGACGAGTCAGTATGGTGACGCAGTATATTAGGTTTGGTCTGCCTTTCTTTAGGAATGCTGATGAAATCCAAAGTGTCTCTGTCTGTCTTGATTGGCATAGAAATAACTGATGGCGAGTTTGAGGCATGTGTTGTATTTGTGGCAACAATGACAGGCTTGTTGTCTGCATTGGGCTCATCCTCCTGTTTTGTTACTGTTAGTGCATGTTGTGGCTGTACATTTGGTTTTGTCATTACCTGAGAACCATCTAATATCAAAGAAGAGTTGCCTGCAACAGGACTTAGTGTTACAGTTTGACAGTCTCCAAGGTTTAGGCCATTGATGAGGACTCCACCTCCAGCACCAGAAATAAGGGAGTTGCCATTTAGTAGAATAGGCTGAGGTGCAGAGAGAAACCCACTGGATCCATTCAGAATGAGCGGTCCTCCCGTGTTACCAGAAACAGCAGAAAAAGAGATGATAGATGAAGGCTCCTCTAACTGTTCTGGGACGTCATCCATGGCACTTGCTTCATCCTCTGTGCTGTGGTTACCGTCAGACTCACTAAAAGGAAATGGCATGATAATTAATTCATTGTATATCAGAAGCTATATTTTTACTGCAAAAAATGCATTTTATTTATATGGATTGGGCTGTTCATTGGTTCTGACCAGACTCGTAACTAACTTAACTTTTGACATATAGGCCTATTTGTTGTGGGTAATGACATACAATTGATGTAGCCTTCATTCAAGCTGTCCAATTTTAGGAGAAGACCACATGTAGTTGCTCTGGTAATTGTATTTTTCAAATAGCATTTCCTGCTATAAGCCAAAAGGCTGTGAGCTGCGACCAGTTTCCTGGCCCTGAAGCTCACATTTCACAACAAAGCAACATGCTCCAGCGGACCTGTGTGTGGCACAGTTGACAACACAAATTACAGTTGTCTTCCACGCATTAGATCGACTTTTTCTGAGGGGAGTTGTTCTGCAAGTGCTCGTCAGACACGATATCACGTTATATTTACAACTGGATATCTAGAATCTAGGAAATCTGATGCCGCATGATCCTACCTTTTGCTGTGTGTCCCAGACGGGGTCCTATCCCTCTGTCTACGGTTTTTGAACCAGTTGCTCACTTGTTTGAGAGATAATCCTGTAACTTTGGCCAGGTTTTTCTTCTCGTCTGGACTCGGATACCTGTTGCTTTTGTAGCATTCTTTTAGTGCATTGCGGGACTTCTCTTTAAGAAGGTACACGGTCTCCTCTCCATCCCATATTGTTTTAGGCAAGGGAAACTTCTTTCTGAGACGATACTTATCCACAGCACCCAGGCTGCGGCCCCGGGACCGCTCAGCTTCTTTATAGCGAGCTTTCAGGTACAGGTCCTGCAGGAACCCATGGTTAGACGGGTGGAAGTCATGGCTTTCCAGAATGGCGTAAAGCTCCTTGAACTCTTCGCGGTGGAAAGCCACCAGAGCCTGGGCCTTGAGAAGGGTCTCATTGCCACGTAGCAGCTCGGACGAAGGATGAATCGTGGAGAGAAATCTCCACAGGCGATCCACATTACCCGCCTGCAGAAGGGCCTCGCACAGACACGATACTTGGTCAGTGGAAAAGCTCAACTCCGACTTTTGTAAACTTTGTTTTTCCGATGCACCCGATCGGCCGAAATCTTCTTCTTCTTTGACATGTGCTGGCGTATGTTCGTCTTTGGTCTTTGGTGATTGTTCCTCAGAGTCCAAAGACAAGGAAGCCATTTTACTTTTAACTTTTTTCCTGCAGTAGTTCCTCCGCCTCTCTCCCCTCCCTCGCCCAGGCTGCCACTGGACCAAACCGCAGAGTCTGCACTCGAGCTGAGTCTTGCAACGCCCCTATCATATCATGATCTGTTTTAAGATTTTTATTTCCATTGACTTGTTGCAATAGTGTACAATTCGTCTGCATACAGATACTTCCACAATAGACCTCTGAAAGACGAATATCAGACTGGCCCATCGATCCCAAGTCCGTCATTGTGGCAGCTACTATATCATCTGTAGGTGGGAGAGAAACACTACAACTAGAGTTAATACAAACAAACAAAACAAAAAAACTGCAGTTATACAAAACGGTATTTGTAATCCCTCAGGAGTCTATGGTTCCGTTCCACTAAGAAACTTAATTATGTCAATTGGTGAGACATTACTAAAAACTTTTGTCCTGTTGAAATTCAAAAGTTAAAAAATATGCGGACAATGTAATCTTAATATGTGGACAAAGTAATTTTAGATGGGTAAATGCCCACAATGGGAAATTTAGCTGCCACAACATTCACATCCTACATATAGAAGAATACATATAATTAATAAAAACATATTTTAATCTAACTTAAACACCTATCCCGACTAATAAACACAACACACACACATTAGCAGTGATCCTTGTCAGGCCAAATACCTGCAAGGATAATGGATTTTCTAATCCTAGATGTGTTGTATTACGGTTTATACATTATTCTGATTGGTTTACATATGTGTCAGTCACAAAGGTTTCCGCCCATCTTCTTCAACACTCGCACATTATTGGTTGATTTTGCCAATGTAGGCATTTGATTGGCAGTTTGCCGCTAGAGGGCGGGTAGAAAGTTCCAGATCTGGGCGTAGCAGGAATTGGAGGTTTTGTTTTTGGATATCTGGGCAAGGCGCGTTTGCGACATTTTTCAGTACTAGCTGCCAAGGATTTTTCATTGACCTGATTCGCATTTGACTGGTGGAAGTGCATTAGTTACTTTATAGGGGCAAAACGATCGATAGATCCGTACATTTGTAAGTCAGTAAGTATACCTTTAAACGTAGAATGAGCCCAACGTGACTGCATGTTGTGAAGCGCTACATAGCATCAACAGCGTGCGAGTTCGTTTATTATAACAAGCTAAATAACTACAAGACAGGTATATTCTTTTAATCATGCTATGGCATCTTCAAACCTAACCGTGTACTGTATAGGTAAAAAGACAATGTTGTGGTCTAGCATTAGTAGTATATTTTTGAATTCACACGTATTAGCTTTAAGCACTGGGTTTCGTGTTTGACTGAACATGTTTTGTCACTTTCAGAAATCAAGCTGTACTTGCACCTTCGCGATGGACAGTGGTGTGACCATAATTACCAACCCTATTGTAAATGTGCGACTCACAAGCACTATTTCAACTTTTGAGTCGAAAGGAAGATTTAACAGAGGCATAACAATAGCTGAATTAAAGGTAACATGCTCTTAATCATTGCCATTCGTTACTTCGTTTATCTGACTGCTCTTTTGTATTTTTCAGGGAAAGCTGGAAATGATTGTGGGTGCCTCTGCCACTTGCATGGAGTTGGAGTTGTTTAATGTTAGTGACCAATTTTTGCAGAAACTTGAAGATAATGAAGCATTGCTGGGTTCATTTCCCGTGGATGATGACTGCAGGATACACGTAAGCTTTAGCATCTGACTCCTATATTTACAGTTCTCCTAACTTGACAATCTTTTTACCTTTTCTTAGTTTAAAAAAACTCAGAGAATTTACACTGATTTAATTCACTTCTCATTTCAATTAAAGGGTCAAATTATGCTATTTAATGATATATGTGATGTTTTCTCATCAAAAACATTTCCTGAGTTCTGTTTTCATTCAGACATGTTTAACACATAAACCCTGCATACTTTATCTCTTAAACCAAAAACACTCAACTGTGTTCTTAATTACCATACACCTCCACTAGAATCATTTAGATGATTTCAGCCCTGGAATTGCCAATTTCTACTGAGCAAAAGGTAAAAGGGAGCTGTTGAATTGGAAGCTACCTCTTCATAACATCACAAAGTGGAACAGAGCATTTTGAGCTTTGGAGCTGTAGCTAGACTAATAATAAAGGATTACTCAAACGTGTGAATGAAACAACATACAACTCCAGGTATGATTGATGATGAGGTAACACCATTTGACTTAAAGCTCACAAGAGTAAATTTAGCTTGATATAGGACTTTTTAAATGTAATGATGGTCACACTGACACCATTATTGTGATGATAAGGATAATTTTATGGCCAAAATTTAAACCGGATGCATTCACCATGATTCTTTCACAGGTTATTGACAGAAGTGGTGGACTTCTGGGGGAGTTCAGTGATGTTTCCAAAGTAGAAAAGTTCGAACTTCCAGATGAAAAGTATGACAAACGAGGAGGTACGCTAGATGCATAAAAATATTTGTGTCAATTCATCAGTGTCTTTTAATAGTCAAGGGGTGTTTCTGAATGCATTAAAACATGAAAAATACTTTCAATTCTCTTCAGACACAGCAAGGTCTTTTATGAAGAAACAGCGTGTTGGGCGCTACAATGAAGAAGAAATGACCAAAAAGAAAGCTGAACTCGCAGCTCGGGAAGAGGAACAAAAAACTGCAGCAGAGGCTATTACCATTGGCAGTCGGTGTAGGGTGCAAGTTCCTGGGCAGCCTACTAAGCTTGGCTCAGTAATGTTTGTTGGTAAGTGTGTTTGACGTCACACTAGTGAGTGATGAAAGCCTTATCTTATAGATACCTGTGTACTTTACTCTGAGCACAACACATGAACACACAAAACTGCTATAAGAAATTAACATTACTCACAACAAAACCCATGAATAACATTTTACATTGTAATGTAATGTGCTAAGTCTGTTGACATAAGTATTCATAATTTCATACTCTTGTGGGCCACGGTACTCACCACTAATTCTGACCAATATAGGATTTTCAGATATTGATTGTATGTGGGTTTGAAATACTGACCACTTCATATTCCTCCTTACTATGTTTATCCAAATTTTCAAACATTGTGTTGTCTGCACTGGCCCTCTATCAGCTCATATTGTCTCTATAGTCGATATATCAGTAAGACATAATTAACTGTTTATATTATTCTTTGTTTACAGGCCTGACAGATTTCAAGCCTGGCTATTGGGTGGGTGTAAAGTATGATGAACCCTTGGGGAAAAATGATGGGAGGTAAAGGAGGATTTATCTTCAATGCTTACATTTTCATTATTATATTAATTTACTTTTGGTTTGTTTTTTCAGTGTGGATGGAAAACGTTACTTTGAATGTCCAAACAAATATGGCGCATTTGTAAAGCCATTGTTTGTGACTGTGGGAGACTTTCCTGAAGAAGATTATGGTTTGGATGAAATGTAACACTGTCTGTGCTGAATTGTCAACTGTATACACTCAGTTTGTGTGTCAAGTAACTACATTAGTCTATATAAATTCCAAGACTTTTTTTTGGCACAATTTCTTTTTTGAACTAAACTGCATGCACTTCATACATGAATGAACGGTAAAATATTAAAATGTGTATTTAAGTTGGGATTGGTGTTGTTTTTTAAGTGAAGAATTAAGATTTTCTGTATACAACCACACAACACTGACTATACAGAAACTTGGAGCAGTGGTGGGACTTGAGATGGGTAATATTTGTTTGCTTTATTCCATGGGAGTGTAATCTATGCAGAGTTTTGGCTGTCTGTACCCTTATTGTCTAAACATTTGTCTAAAACAGAATGATAAGTAAAATTTATAAAATAAAAACACGTCATGCTTACGTATTCCTCTCGCGAAATCTCGCGCAGTTTGGCAAGGCTGTGTAGTGTGTGCGCGACAGGGACAAGGAAAGATGGCGACGCAGGAGACAGAGCTGACCAAGGCTGCCGTGACCAACGGCGAGGTAATGTGAATGATTATCCTGTGACTATATGCGCTTATACAGCCATAACTCGCACCTGCACCTTGTTGTTTAGGGGAAATGTACATAGACAATACGGAATTTGCGAGGTGTCGATATTCTTAAGGGCTTTCTTCACCACGACCCGCTGCTTCCCTCAACGATGTGGACATATACTTGGGGCTACCGGCGGATGTAGGCAATGAAGTTGTCATCTAGATGTGTATATAAAGACCTTATACACTTAACTTTATTTCATCTCTATTGTTCGTGGTCGGTGTTATGGTTGTAGCTGGTTTATGTGTGCTGGTTGTCAGTAAGCTACCAAGGCCTTAGGCTTAAACGAGGCCAGTATCAAGCAGTGTCATACCTAATATATCATTATGTTTACTTAAAACAAGTACTACTGAGTTATTGTCATCTTTTGGGTCTTTTGAACGCTTCATTTATTGAAGTGACAACGTCTTCGTGGAGTTTATAACAACAGTAAGTGAATCAGCCTTTTGATTCGTTTTGATAATTCATTAGTGACAGTAATTATCATCTCAAGCAACTACAACATATTTGCAGAATGTTTAACTCTTAACTGTGTGTGATTTGAGGAAATGTTGGATTCATAAACTGTTCTGTTTCTTGTGACAGTGTACTTATTACCCATAACAGCAGCCTGGTTAAACCTGTTTAGATGGACTAGTCTTCTCTTTTCAAAGAGTAGTCTTTAATTATCTTCAAATGAATACGCTCTTTCTTAACATATTGTTTACATCCAGGTGGGCAATATTACAAACTAAATTGTAGTTAATTCTTAATCTCGTTTTAGTTCATAAAAACTGTAAATCATTATCTTGATTGAAAACGTGTAACCAAGAGTAGAGGCCCTACATCATTTTCACGCTGTCTGCATTTTACTAAGACTCCACTTTTCACCATTCAAATATATAACATAATTAAATTTGACAACACCAATTAGACAAGGTTTTGTGAACTTGTGAAATGACTCGGCAGTTACTGCGTTAACAGAACATGGAGCATGGTTGTGATGTGTTTGTTTCTGAGCCCACTTTATGGTCCCCTTGTATTGGTGACAAGAGAGGAGATTAGATGTTTAGATAGTGAATGAGTCCCATGACTTGGCCTGTGCTTCCCCATTGTGTTACCAGAATAGAAATGAGCTCTGTTTTTGTGGGCATGCAGATGGCCATATTGTTGAAACAAAAATTTATATTAAGCAAATACTTATTGAAACCAATTAAAAGAACAGCGCAACTCTGTTTTAGTCTTTATTTAATATTGTCAATCTTGTTATCTTACAATATTTCTGTGATTATCATTTTCTTTTAGGTTAGTACCAATGGCAGTGCAACAACAACAGATGGCCAGACTGTGCAGGCAACTGGAAATGCACAAGACCCACAGCAACAGCAGCCACAGCAAGCTCCAAACGCATGGCAGGTCATAAAAGGAGTCCTCTTTAGGTAAGACACACCATGTTACACTCCTATAGGTACACCACCCCTGCTTCACTTCTCCATCTGAAAAAGCTGTTATAAATATTGTGCATATGAGTATTGTGCCAAAGGGTTTGTGAGAGCTTGGAACAAATAGATTTAAATACATATGTGAGATATCTAAATTTCTTGGAATATGAGATATTGCTACTGCATGCAAATACATGAACAATTTTATTGGTTGGTTATGCAAGAAGCTACTACTAAATCTAGTGTTATACATGCAGACTGTCTACTTTAGAAAATCACCAACAGGGTATTAAGTGAATTAAGTTGGTTCTTAATGGTCCATTAATGTTAGACAATTAGCTGGTTGTGCTCCTGTGCCTTGTTTATGACACAATCTCTTTATCTCTGCAGAATCTTTATAATATGGGCCATTAGTAGTTGGTTTCGACGAGGGCCATCAACTCCTGATCCCAACACTCCAGCCGGGGCTCCCAGAGTTCCCAGCAGAAACCTCTTTGCCAAGGACACTCTTATGGTATTTCACATGTTAACTTTTGTTGTACACTGATAATGTAACTATAATATATAACCTAATATTTTCCTGTCTCTTTCTTCACTTCACTGCAGGACATGTATGTTTATGTTTCCCAAGAGGAGGTTTTCTCTGACTTCAACAACACAGATGCCCTGTTCTGGTTCCACAGGGATCTGGTCTATGGAGACTGGACCACAGGAGAGGATGGAGATGGCTGCTATCAGCAATATAAGGAGATGGACATCCCAGAGGTACAGAGATATTTCCTCTAATGCATGTATCTGCATAGAGCAGGCATTTCAGGTATCTGTAAACAATCCTTCAGAGAGTGCCAAGATTACAGTGTGTTTGCAACTAAGGCCTATCCATGTCTTTTTTTTTTTTTTTTGGTTAATGACATTACAGAAGTCCTCTCTCTTCATTTGTTCTGTAGATTTTACATCCATGCTCTGTACACTCAAATTTACCATTTACAACTTTGCTGCACATGTCACAAGAGATCTCCTCTTCTGTTTTGGTGACTTTCTTTAGCAGTGTCGCAGCACCACACTCAGGCCTGGTATATGTATTACAGGACTGCACACATTTACTGAACCAGTGCCAATTATACGCAATTCATTTTTTCAACAATAGCCATTTTGTCTGAGCATGGAGAATAGCCTTTATTTTTTGTTCACACTACTTTTCAGATGACAGTTTTTTGCTTTCATACCAAGCACCATTCTAGAAAATGTTTTGAAAACAAGGCTATTGTATCATTCATTACCTGTGAATCTAGTGCCCTTTCCACTCTTTCAGAAGCACTGTCTGACATTTCTCTTTTTGGCAGAAAGTACAGCTGAATGGCTCTCTCTACATACATGTATACTTCACTAAAAGTGGGTTCAATCCAGACCCAAAACGCAAGGGACAGTATCGCAGACTAGCAACAGTTCATGCATCAAGAAGTAAGCATTTATATGTATAATTATGCATCTGCATACAGTATTCAACTGTACTGAATAAATCAGGATTGCATGTACTGTCACACATCTAACCCACTTGTACTTCTGTAGTGCTAAATAAGTTCAAACGAAGAAAGTTTCTAAAGACAAAGAACTTGCTTACGGGGGAAACAGAGGCAGATCCTGAGATGATTAAGGTATATATTTCTTTGTTAATCACAATGGATATTATCATTGTTATGTGTATTATAAATTCCTGAAAATGTATTAAATGTAATTTAAGATTGTTGTTTTTTAGCGGGCAGAGAGCCATGGGCCAGTAGAGATAATTTCCCATTGGCACCCCAATCTCACTATTAACATGGTAGATGATCACACCGCTTGGGTCAAAGGCTCTGTTCCTCCTCCTCTAGATCAACGTAAGGACTGAAATACATAGATATACTATGTCTAATTTATGTCTACAGAATAACTAACTTGTATACACTTGTACTTTTCAGATGTTAAGTTTGATGCTGTCAGTGGCGACTATTACCCTATAGTTTACTTTAATGACTACTGGAATCTCCAAAAGGACTACTATCCCATCAATGAAACTCTGACGAAGCTTCCCCTTCGTCTGACCTTCTGTCCCCTCTCTCTGTGGAGGTGGCAGCTGTATGCTGCCCAGAATGCTCGTTCGCCTTGGAACTTTCTACCTGAGGACACATATGAGCAGTCTGATGAAGATCAAGACTCTGTCAAGGTTTTATTTTTTATTCTATAATACAGAAGTGCAATTGAAGGATTTGATATTTTATCACTTGTAATGTATTTTAACTTCTTATGAAGGTGGCCCTTCTGGAGACCAACCCATATCTCCTTGGACTGACCATTGTAGTGTCAATTGTACACAGCATTTTTGAATTTTTAGCCTTTAAAAATGGTAAGCTCTCTGGGTCTGTTGTATCATCGTCATCATTATTCCAATGGGACTCTTTAATATATATTTTTTTTAAACTTTCAGATATCCAGTTTTGGAACAGTCGACAGTCGTTGGAAGGCTTGTCTGTACGGTCCATTATCTTTGGCGTTTTCCAGTCACTAGTGGTACTGCTGTACATCCTGGACAATGAAACCAACTTTGTTGTTCAAGTGAGCGTCTTTATTGGCCTTCTCATTGACCTATGGAAAATTACCAAGGTCATGGATGTCAAAGTAAGTGGCATTTCAGACATTTTAAAATAATGGAGCACATTTGTCATGTGTCATCCAAATTTAAAAACTCATCCAAACATTTTTTTTAAACAGTTGGACAGAGAAAACAAAATCGCTGGGGTGATTCCAAAATTGGTCTTCACAGACAAGTCTACATATGTGGAGTCTTCGACCAAGATCTATGATGACGTAAGTTCATGAGTCTTTTGCTTTCTCCCTTTTTGATCTATGTAATCAAGTAATTTATTCTCTTTTCCTAGATGGCGTTTAAATACTTGTCCTGGTTCCTTTATCCCCTGTTCGGCTGCTATGCTGTTTACAGTTTATTGTATGTAGAGCACAAAGGCTGGTACTCCTGGGTACTCAGTATGCTCTATGGATTCTTGTTAACGTTTGGTAAGTGCTGTTGATAATTTGCTTTACAATCAGATCCATACTTAAACCATATTTGAAAATTAAATTCTGTGCTGTATGCTTTGTGAATGAATAGACCTCATCAGCTCAGATATTTCC